TTTTGAGGAAAAATGCTTTTCATAAAAGAAGTAAAAACATGCAAGCCAAACTGATGACACTAGACCAGGTGGAGGGAGATAAAGTCAGTACAATAAAAGAAAGGCAGGTTTGACCTACGGTGATGAATGAAACCTGCTGATCAGGTAAAGTTGAGGATATTAGACCTCGTGCAGTGACAGCGAATGACTGTCACCACAATAGTCCTAGTGGTATCTCAAACAGGAGAAATTATGGCAGAAAACTCATAGAAGTTTAGAGCCTGGGCTGGACAGTTTTAAAGAAGGTCTGCAAGGTGAGGAACTGGTTGGGACTGGGCATAGCTTAGAGCTTAACAGCTTATTGGACTGGTAGGCATAGCATGGTTACCTGAAGTGAACCTAATGAGCAAGTTGTAAGCCTCAATCAAAAATGCAAACAAAATTAAGGAACTCAGACGGGTGTGGTGGCTCATGCCTGTAACCCCAGCACTTTGGTAGGCTGAGGTGGGAGAATTGCTTGAGCTCAGGAGTTCCAGACCAGCCTAAATAACATGGTAAAACCCCATTTCTACAAAAAATACAAAAATTACCCAGACATGGTGGTGCATGCCTGAAGTCCCAGTTACTCTGGGGGCTAAGGTGGGAGGATCGCTTGAGCCCAGGAGGTCAAGGCTGCAGTAAGTCATAATTGCACCACTGCACTCCAGCCTGGATGTCAGAAGGAGACCCTGTCTCAATAAATAAATAAATAAATAAATAAATAAATAAATAAATTTAAAAATTAAGGAACTCATTTACAGTATGCTTCCTAATATTTTAGATTACCTGGTTTGGTTTAAAAAATAGATCTCTCATGGTTCAAACATTTCTAAAATCTGACTTATGATGAGAATCAAAGAGCAAAAGCACAACTACAATGATGAAATATTTTTTAATTCATCATCATCTCATCCTCTAAATTATGTAGTTTATTTACCCTGAGTATATGTATGATACAGTTGACCCTTCCTAGCAGCAGGCTCCACATCCATGGATTCAACCAGCAGCAGATCAGAAATATTCAGAAATAATAATAATAAATAACAATGCAACAATAAAAACATAAATTTAAAACAATACAGTGCAATAACTATTTACATTGTATTGCATATTAAAGTAATCTGCAGATGATTTCAGTATATATGGGAAGATGTACATAGATTATACTCAAATGTTAGGACATTTTATATAAATGACTTAAGTATCTGTAGATTTTGGTATCTGCAGGGGATCCTGGAACCAATCATCTGTAGATACTAAGAGACAACTGTATATATAAATTTTGTCAACTCCATCTTATTTTTGATTGATAGAATATCACCACTTATTTTGAAATGATTATGCATTACTGTAAGCACAACCAATTCAAGAATATTTCTGTCCATTGGTGCCTTAATTTAGAACAATATTTTTAATAATGCTTTTCACCACCAAAATTTGTACTTGTTGTATTATCTCAAAAACAAACAACTTTTCCATCAATGTTTAACTTTAAAATTGACTTTACAATGCATTTACAAGAATTTAAAATGATTCACTTTTGATAGGATGCATTTCAAAAAGCTTTGTTACAATTTCATAAATTAGGTGGAAAATTGAACCACTTAAGGACTCATCCCAACTCATTTTCTATTTGAAGCATCTCATGCTTGCAAAGGTCTTCTTCTATTAACGGTATTAACACATTAACAGGTGTTGCTTTACTTTTTTATAGACCCAAGAAAAATTGGAATAAAAGTAAGAAAAATTATTTCAGAAGTGTCTAAATAATCTAAATGTGATTATTTTGTTTGATCTGAATGACAAATCATGCTTCAGAGTGATATGTAAATACACTGTGTGCAGAGTGGCACATGGTAATAACTTGTCTTCAGGTACAATCTTCTTAAAATAGAATCTTCAATTGATCCTAAAGGTTCAAGTTTGTTGCATCTGGAAAAATATGTAGATTTAATTATTTGCAGGTGTGTCCCACATACTAGAAGCCATGAGTGAAGGTGAAGATACAAAGTGAAAAATCTATTAAGTCCACCCAGCCTATGTTGCTGTCACTGTTAATCAGTTAATGTTTAACTGTTAATCAGTTAAACTGTTAATGTTTACCAGAAAACGAAGTCTAGGCAAACACAAAAATAGACAAGACCTGAGGACGACAGAGACAAACTGAAATTATTCTAGGAAAACCAGATTATATGGTTGCCCTACCTCCACCTCCACCTACATCCATCTCTCTCCAAAAAGGTCTCCTTTTCCCCACAGATCTGAATAAGATGGCCCATCCTCTCGCCTTATAAAAGCCCAATGCCCTTTCCAAAATGTTCGTGGATACCACAGCCTTGCATTCTCATGGTCACCTCTAGCCCTAAGTTTCTGATTCTTCTGAATTGTTTTTCACACCTTTAAAATTTTATACTTTGGTATCAAGTGAAATTCAACTCCTTTCCTAATTTCTAAACAACAACAACTTGTGTAGCTGATGAGTGACAAATTTGGTTATTGAAAAGGGAGGGATGAACTTGTGTTCCAAGTAACTTATAACTGAATATTTATATCCTTGTTTCCCACATTCCCTGGGGCCCTCTTTCATGCTGCTTGCTCATTCTTTCCCTTCTGCCTCCTCCTTCAGAGCTCCCACCCCATTCATCCCATTTTCTTCTGTAGAGTGATTTATCACTCTCTAGGCTTGTACTCAAAACTCAGCCCCAGGCCTCCCTTTGAGTTGAGAAATGCCTTGAAATTAACACTGACAGGGATGTTTCAGATGAAAAACTAGACAAAGGCTGTTGACTGATTTCTTTCCTAATTTCTGCAAGGTAAGTAGGAATTTGTGTGTGTGTGTGTGTGTGTGTGTGTGTGTGTGTGTGTGTGTAGAGAGAGTGAGAAAAAGAGAAACAAAGATGCAAGTTTATAAATGTGTAGAACTATATACATGTGTGTGTGTATATATGTATGTATGTATTTATATTACTCTTCCAAAACATTTCCCTAGCCTGTAGGTTTAGATGAAGTCACATTAATATTAACACTCACATTTCATGGGCTCATAATACCTCTTTGCAGGACATCAGCCTCAAAGTCACTCTAATTTTATCTGGGTTCCCTGAGATTTTATCACACAGAAAAATCTGCCCTTTTTAGGGTGCTGCTCTGATTCTGCCAGGGACCGTCATCCCCTGTGAGCATCCATTGATGACCATGTTTTCTGGGCATCTAGTTCCTTCTGGTGCTTTGTCAGTTCCTGAGATCACTAAATAGTGGAGATGGGCCCAGCACAGTGATGTGTCTAACTTAAAGGTAGGGCAAAAGCTGTTCTCCCAAACCCTGTGTTTCAGCTCCTCACCTGGACATCTAAGCTGCATATCTCATGGCTCACTGATTTTATGACCCTGTTCATAGGCATCTGGCTAACAAATTCCTCTAGACAGCTTCTCTCAACACCCCCACTTCTATGTAGATCAGTTGCTATAGACACATGTGAGCCCCCGACCCCATGCACAGATAGGTACAAAATCTCAATTTAGTTTCATATGGAAATGAGACCCCGTGCATATTTTGCTTTTTTATTTTCTTTCTAGAGTTTCACATGCCATCAAATGTAAGATTTACTACTGGTGAAGCAGGAGGGCAGGGTAGAGAGAAAAAAAACACCACATTAAGCTCATATTTTTATTGTAAGATGTACTTTCATTTCAGAAACTTCCAAGTTAAAAAAAATTGACCTTAAAATTGAAGGAAGAAGTATAATTTAGTGGAATTTAAAAACAAATTATTTTAGTATTTTCCTTTTGAATTTGTGAATCTTGTGTTCAAAAAACGTCTTATGTTTTGCCATAAACTTATACATTCAATGTGTATACAGGAATCATAGAATTTTAGAGCTAAAGTAAATCTCCTTATTAAAAAGTTTGGACCGAGAGAAGCTGGTGATATCTTGAAGGAACAGAACCTAGTATGATTGAATAGGTGGTGATCAGTTTTCCTGCCTCTCTATCCATACCATTTTGTCCAAAGAGGGAAAATATGCATTTAAAGTGTTCACCTTGAGGCCAGTCTGGACAACATAGCGAGATCCCCATTTCTACACAAAATTAAAAATATTATCTAGATGTAGTGGTGCACACTTGTAGTCCTAGTTTTGTTGGGAGGCTGAGGTGGGAAGTGAGCTATGATCACACCATTGCACTCCAGCCTGGGTGACAGAGCTAGAGCCCATCTCTAAAAATAAAGAAATAACATGTTTATCTTATTATGAAAGTTTTTAATAATCAGTTTTGCAGTCATTCTGTTTACTGAAAGAAGTGAAACATACACTTATTAATCCTTTGGAAGTTGAACCATCTGCAGTTTGACAAGAGTAGTTGGGAAATATTTTTGTTTTACTAATTTAGTAGAATAGCTGTAACCAAAAGCAATAGTTTACACATATTGAATATGTCTTATAAACAATGTTGAATTGTTTTTATTAAAAAAAACACATAAGCTTTTGGGTATATTTTACATAATGAAATAAATGTAACGTTACATAAAAATCAAAGGCTATTTCTGTCAGATTTACACATGAAATTAAAAATATTGGGTCATCTAATTATCCTGGGTTTTAGCTTTCCCCTTCACTTTCCTGACAGATATTAAATAAACATGGTCTAAAGGAATTCACTGTAAAATTATTAGTATGAATAGAAGAGCTCTGTAATGTTGAAGGATATAACAATAAATAAAGACTAATGAGTTTTTTCTTTCTTGGTAATAAGCAATAGGAAAAATGGCAGGAAAAAGGCCGGATTAATAATACCAACAGAAAAATAACTAGAATGAATGTTATACAAATAGGAATTTCATTTGATTGCAAGAAGCAGACACCTGTAGTAACAGTAACTTAAATTAAGGAAATGTTGTGACATAAAGAAGAGACAGGCAGTGAAGGGCTAACGTGGTTGTGACAACACTGAGAATAATTTTCCCTTTCTTTTCCACCCTCTTAGATGTAGGCTCCATTTCCACAGATGCCTCATGATCAGGGATAGCTGCTCAAGTTCTCCCTATTACATCACATGTCCTCCATCAGTTTTCAACTGCAGAGAACTGAATCTGCTCCAGCTACTTGACACACAAATGGCTCTATTCCTGTACTAAAGAGCTTCTGGAATCCTAGACAAGGCAGAAACACAAACTCTGTGTTAATATTTTGGGACTAACACCCAAAGTCACCTGAAAGAGTTGGGCCACCAAGGTAGCTACTGTCCCTTCTTGTCCCTTCTATGACCAAGAAGCTCCTTTTCTGATTGGAATGCTGTCACTCCACTTGCTGGGTCCAGAACCTCAGAGCTCCTGCACAATGAGGGAGCTGCAGTCCCAGGAAGCCACACAATCCCAAAGCTGTAATGATTGGGAATCTCATACCACAGATGCTGTCTTCAGAACCAAGCTGTTTCTGCTTCGGTCTGCACCCATGACTTCAGTGACCAGAAACGAAGACCTCAGCAAATGCTTCTTCCCAGCATAACTGAATGCTTGCCCAGTGGGGCTTGCCAGAAGGAACAACAGAAGCAACACCTCTCCATTTTGCTTTACATCTACCTTCCAAATCATCACTTGTGTACCTGAGGGGTCGAGCATTCACCGCATACAAAAGCATAGCTGCAAGAAATTGGGGGAAAGTCATTTTTAGCTTTTCAGTCTTTGAAACATAAGAAGACACTCTAGAAGGGAGTTGCAATAGACAGTAAGTGTTAATTCACAATTCCGCCAAAATATTCCAGGAAGAGGGAAGGAGAAAGAAAGGGGAAGGATAAAAGGACATCCTCCTTCACTAGCTCAGTGATCTTTAAGAAACTTTTCATGAAGCCCCACTAGATGATTTTCATTTGCCCTTCATTACCTACTCTTAACTGCAGGGGAGACTGGGAAATGCAGAACTTTAGCTATATGTGTTGCCTCCCAGAATAAAATGGGGTTTTGTTAGAAAGAAGTAAATAAACAAGATAATGAATATTTGGTGGGTAATTAATACAGCTGACCCTGGAACAGCACAGGTTTGAACTGCTTGGTCCACTTATAAGTGGATTTTCTTTCACCTCTGCCACTCTGAGATAGCAAGACCAATCCCTCCTCTTCCTTCTCCTCCTCAGCGTGAAGCTGGTGAGTATGAAGACCTTTAAGATGATTCATTTCCACTTATGAATGGTAAATGTATTTTCTTTTCCTTATTATTTTCACAATAATGTTTTCTTTTCTCAAGTTTCTCAAGTTTGTTCTATTGTAGAAATATAGCAGACAAGATAATACATATAACACAAAAATCTGTGCTAATCAACTATTTATATTATCAGTAAGGCTTTTGGTCAACATTAGGCTATTAGTAGTTAAGTTTTTGGGGAATCAAAAGTTTTATATGCATTTCTGAATGCATGGAGAGAACAACATGGGAATTAGGTTGGTGCCTTAATTCCTATGTTGCTCAAGAGTCAACTATAGTTTCAGCTGAAGCCTGCTCTTTTTTTCTCAATGTCTATACTCATCCTTCTTTTCTTACATAGAACACTTCACCCCTTTCCTATGAACATACCCCAAAGTCTCATCCAAGCAATGCACCTAACTCAATATCCAGGATTACTGGGTAAAATGTACCCCTCTCTATTCCATCTAGATGTGGTTTCTTGTGATCCAGTAATGTATAAAAATAGAAAAAAATATTTGCTGCCGGAACATCATAATGGAGAAACAGTAGGATAGGAATGATTGAGCTCTTCTTTTCAGAAAGTGGTAATGGGAGCATTCTTCAGTCACTGTTCCATAGCAATTATGAAATCCTGCTGGGAAGGATTATCAAGACCCCCTGGCCTGGCAGAGCAGTTAGCTCATCTGGAAGCTCTATGCTCCAGGAGGTTTCTGTCTTACTAGCTTTATACTGAGTTCTGTCTTTTATAGGATGCAATTAAAAGTCAGTAGCCAACATAGCCCAGCAGCTACAATTTTTCTACATTTTCCATTGTACAACAGCTTTATACAGTCTGCCTTCCAAAGTACAAGTTTGGAAGTACAAGGTGAAAGTTTGATCATAAGTTTGCCACTGCATTACAAGGGACAATGTTCCAAATGTTAACAGGTGGATTCTTACTGCTCACAGCACGGCTGCCTTCACCATACAAATACAACTACAAATGTTTACAATGCATCTAAGTGAAAACTATCTACTGAGCTTTATCATGAAATATAAAAGATTTAAGTAAATAGACTAAAAGAAGTCCCTGAAAGGGAAAACTGAAATTTATAAATGCCAATTTCTCCCAAGTATAGGTTTAATACAATTCAAATTCCAGCCCTCACATTCTAGCATGATTCTTTGAAACTCAACAAAGTGATTTAAAGCCTACCTGTTAGAAATAAAGCATAAGAATGAACAAGAAAATGCATGAAAAAAGAAAAGAGGATACTTGCTACACAGGAACTTGTCCCTGAATGTTGATAGCATTATTCATAATAGCCAAAAGCTGAAAACAACTCAATTGTCCATCAACAGGTGAAAAGATGAACCAAATGTTTCATATCCATACAACAGAATATTATTCAGCCATGGAAAAAAAGAGTGAAATATTAATACATGCTACAATTTCAATGAACCTCAAAAACATTACGCTAAGTGAGAAAAGTCAGACACAAAAAGTCACATTTTATATGACTCCTTCAGTATGATATATCCAGGATAAGCAAATCCATCGAGACAGAAAGCAGATTAGAGATTACCAGGGAGTGGGAGAAAGGAGAAATGGAGTGTGATTAATGGGTATAGGGCATTTTAAGGGATGGTAAATATTTTGAAACTAGAAAGATCTGGTAGTTGCATAATATTATGAATACACTATATACCACTGAATTGTATACATTAAGATGGCTAATTACAGGTTATGTAAATTTCACCTCAATAAAAATAAAAGAAGACAAAATAAATGAATATGGGGCTGGGCACAGTGGCTCATGCCTGCAGTCCCAGCACTTTGGGAGGCCGAGGCGGGTGGATCACAAGGTCAAGAGATCGAGACCATCCTGGCCAACATGGTGAAACCCAATCTCTACTAAAAATTCAAAAATTAGCTGGGTGTGGTGGTGTGCTCCTGTTGTCCCAGCTACTCAAGAGGCTGAGGCAGGAGAATTGTTTGAACCTAGAGGGTGGAGGTTGCAGTGAGCTGAGATCATGCCACTGCACTCCACCTGGCGACAGAGCAAGACTCTGGAAAAAAAAAAAAAAAAAGGAAATGAATATGGAGGATAAACAATATCATTTTTAGGGACATGAAGCACAATTCGCAAACATCACTTATGTTGCTATATCATTGGCTAAAACGTTGAGATATGACTACATCTAAGTTCAAGAGAAGTTGGGAGATGCAGTCCCTAGCAGAATGGTTACAAATACAACCAAAATATATTGCCGAAGTATTGTTCTGTGGTATTACATAAAGAAAGAAAGAAAATTATGCAAGGAGATACTATCCCATCATTTGTCTTTGTAACTTGCTAAAAGCAACAAGGAACAATGAATACGCATGAACATTTTGGCTATTTCCAGTTACTTCCTTAGATCTCTACATATCCTAGGCACATGTTCTGCCTTCCAGGTGAATGCTGGCAAGAGTTTTACTCAATGTTTTTTTCACAGTAAACATTTCTGGCTTTCAGTATCTGTCTCCTCGTTTCCTGTTACCTGACTGTTGAATCAACACCAGATAGTTTATTTTGTGTCATCGCAGTGCCTCAATTCTGATATTGATCAGTGAGTATAAAGGCTAAGACATGACGTCAATGAGACTCACACATAGTGATTTAAATGGGATAATATTTTCCTCTCTCTCTTGCAGGAGAGTCTGGGGTCAGGCAGGGTTTACTCATTTGGTCATCTAGTGACCTAAGGTGAAAACTCAACATGCATCTTTCACCACTGGGTCTAAGCACCTACTCCAGCTTTCCTAATTCCAGGGGTTGAATTCACTGACACCATGTCTGCGTGTCAGTCAATGAGGACAGGGAAAATAGGCGTGAAGATGCACCTTCATGTTCAAGGACCCAAGGCAAAACTGGTACCTGTACCTTCTGCTCCAAACCAGTGGCTGAGACCTAGTCACATGGTCATAATTATCAGGGACAGAAGCTGAAAAATGATAGTAGTAGCATCACCACATGACCACCAGAATAGTGAAAGGCACCAATTAATAAAGGGAAGAAAGATATAATGGATATTAAAACACAGGAACAGTCTTTAACGTAGTATGAATGTAAAGTTTCTAGAAAAACAATGAAAAGGATAGAAAAAATATGCAACTTTCAACTGGTAGAGAGAAACAGTGGAATGACAGAAAATTACCATCAGTCTTTTCCGACATCAAGAAAGGAAAAGAAGAGCAACATCGAAGAGCTTGGAAAAATGAAAAGTCCCAAATAATCATAAAAATAAATCTAAATATATCAGTAATTATAATTCACATAACTACACCAAAGCTTTAGCTTTAAAACAATGATTGAGAAACAGAGTGAAAAAAATCTCTTAAATGCCATTTAAAAGAGAAACAGTTAAGACATCAAAATTGAAAAGAGTTGAAGGTAAAGGGTAAAGAATAATACAGCAGGTAAGTATTAAACAAATAGCAAGCTAATTTACCTATGTTAATAGCAACCTAACGAAACTTTAAGGCAAACAGTTTTAATAGAAATAAAACTCCGACAGCTTCAAAATATCAAAGGCTTAATTCACTGGGAAGATATTTAAAAGTTAAATTTGTATGAACCTAACAATTTAGCTTCAAAATGTATACAAAAGCAAATATTGAAGGAACTACAAAGAGAATCGTCAAAGCTATCATTTCAGGCTACCCTCTTGGTAATTGATAGATCAAGGAAACAAAATCCAGTGATGATTCAGGTTTTGACCAACATAATTAGCATGCTTAGTTTAATGGACTTAGGAAAAATTTCATGATTCCGTGAAAAAGCCAAGTCACTGAAGAATAACAGTGTCATCACATACATAACATTATAGGAAGCTCAAAAACTTGCAAACGCAGCATACAAAAAAGGGATTTAGAAATTCAAGTATATGTGCTAATACTATAAAGAAAATTTTAAAAAATTAAAAGTAAGAAGTTTTAATTTTAGGTTGTATCTACTTATTTTCCATTATGAAAAATGGAGTCATTTGCAAGGCTCCAAACATTAGTGTTCTATTCTATAAGCGCATGTGAGAGAGCGCATGTGAGAGAGCGCATGTCCTGTCTTGTATAGCAGTAGGCTTTACCAAATTTTAAGAAAATAAAGCCACAAAATATTCCAAGACTAGTCTTCAGGTGGCTTGTATTTCTGTAGAATACCCAAGTGATTGGCAAATGTCAGCAAGTGGGTCATTGCTAATAGATTCTTGAACTCTTGCTCTGGGACAGTGCCTTCTAGTCCCTATGCAAGGAAAATGAGAAAAGCCTCATCTCCAAAAGATGAAAATCTCAAGAAGAAATTTTGGTAAGATCAGCTTTTATGGCATGTATGAATGTAAATTTATGAGTCTGAATGGTAGTGCTTATGTGTGAAGAGTATTGTCTTCACTGTGAAGGTGTCCCAACTCCACATGGCTTTGGATCTACTGGGAGCAGCAAACACCACGGCACTGGAAGTCTGAGAAAACTATGTTGTCCCAAGATGTGGTACCACTCACCAGTCTCCTGCCTAACAATCAAATCCCTTTGCATATTCTTTAAAAAAACAACTGAAATAACTTTTTATATTCTTTGCTAATAACCTAAGCATTGGTTAAGATCTAATCTGAAGTGTCTTTGCCATGTAGAGTCTCACTTTTACAAATTCGAAAAGACATTTTTTAAAAACATCTGATAAATTCTACTACACAGAATAAATTATTTGAATTTAAAAACATCATAAAGTCAAAAGACAAATGGCCAGTAGAAGAAGTACTTGCAATTTATATCAAAGGCGAAAGGTTATTCTTTGTA